AAAGAGAGAGAGAGAGAGAGTCCATTAACTCTGAGAGCTCATCCTTACTCACTTGCAGGCATTCCAGCAGTTCACAGGAATCAACACTGTGATGTACTACAGCCCCACGATTGTGCAGATGGCCGGCTTCTCATCCAACCGCCTCGCACTCCTCCTCTCTCTCATCGTCGCCGCCATGAATGCTGCTGGCACTGTCGTTGGCATCTTCCTCATTGACCGCATTGGTCGCCGCCCCCTTGCCATGACCAGCCTTACTGGTGTCCTCCTCTCTCTCTCTCTCCTCTCCTCAGCCTTCTATCTATCTTCACACCAATGTGCAAATTCCCTCTATTTTGGCTCTTGTTCAGCCAGTGCCGGTTGGTTTGCAGTGATAGGTTTAGCTCTCTACATTCTGTTCTTCTCTCCAGGGATGGGTCCTGTCCCTTGGGCCATAAATTCCGAGATTTACCCTTCGGGTTACAGAGGAGTTTGCGGAGGTTTCTCAGCAACAGTGAATTGGATTTCAAATTTGATTGTTGCGCAAACATTCCTGTCGCTGGTGGATGCGGTGGGGACACCTGCGACATTCCTGATGTTTGCAGCAGTGGCTGTGGCAGCACTTGTATTTGTATGGGTGTACGTGCCGGAGACAAAGGGCCTGAGCTTTGAGGAGGTCGAGATGCTCTGGAAAGAGCGGGCTGCGGGGCAGAGGTGGGGGCAGCAGCAGCAACGGTTGCTCGATGATACCTCCGTGGAGCCTTAATGTGGTATTTGTGTGCTTATCTCTCACTCTCTCTCTTGATTTGGAGAGTGAAATCTGTGCAAACGTGCTTTGGATGGTGTTTTATGCATCGGGCCATGCACATGATCTCTTTTTCTTTCTTTCTGAATGTACTCAATGATCTCTTTTTCTTTCTTTCTAAATGTACTCAATCTCTCTCTATGTCGTTGATTTGGAGGGGTGGAATCTGTGCAAAAGTGCTTTGGTGGTGTTTTATGCATGTGGCCATGCATGTGATCCCCACCCCCAACACTCCCCTAAAAAAAAGAGGTGGGGAGTAGAATCAGTGGATGTCTTTTGGTTGGTGTTGTATGAACGGGGATGTGTAATTCAGTGTATTTGGGTAAAGACAGGTCCCTAAACTTTTTTATTTTTTATTTTGGTTAATTCAGTGGAGAAGACAGGTCCTTACCCCTTTTTTTTGTTAATTCAGTGCATTTTTTTTTTGGGTAATTTAGTATTTTGTGGCAGTGGGGAAGACAGGTCCCTACTCTTTTTTTTTTTTCAAATAGATTAGGGAGTTAGCTTTATTGAAGGCGTTAGGTGGGTCTTGTTATAGTAGGATTAGAAACCACAACGTGGTAATTAGGTATGAGGTGCTACCACTACGACCGAGCCCGATGTGTTCTCTCTCGACACTTTTTTTCTCAATTGTTGATGCTGGGTAACAATCCTACTCTCCCCCACTTGTGTGGCCACCATTGTACCTGCTATTCTTTCTCAGTATTTCCCAACCCCCTTCTGTCTCTGCCCTACAGTGGATGTCTGTCACTCTCTCTCTGGTGTTGTAATGTGTGCAGTCACATTCTTATGTACCTGATTCTCTTCGAGAGGACATATATTGGATACTCAAATAGTCAAATGTGTTTCTTTACATGTGTTCAAATTGCATGTATAATACCTTTTTTATGGTATAAAAAATCATCTTTATTTGCATGGAAAGCATACAATAAGCAACCTATTTTTGGTTTATCATTTATTGTTAGATTTAAAATCGGGCCTTGAAGTTGTGCCACTAAAAAGGTTCAATATGCAAATGAAAAATATCTTAAAACTTTGCGACATTTCAATAGTCGGATTTTGTCATTTGATGGGTAAGAGTGATTCTGATCTCTTAATAAAAATTAGTCTTTATAATTTACAATGCATAAGCCTTTTATGTATTTATCATTTGCAGTCGATATGGAATTAGGGAGTAGATATATAGCGTGCTCCCATGGGGATATATTATGCACTCTTAATTTACAGAAAAGTTTATATTGAAAACCCATCACAAAGGTTGTTTTGATGATGGAAAACCCTTTCAATCGATCATTTGTACCTTGAGATGCGTGGATATAGTATGAATATGAATTTAAAAAAATGATTTCAAGTCTTGAAATTGCTGCTTCTTGTAACATGTCATTTAGACTTATATCATCTGGACTAATTTTTTAGAATTTGAAGTTTTCGTAGATATATTTGTTCCAAATTATTTTTAGGGCTTTATTTTTTAGAATTTGAATTATTTGTAGACATATTTGTTTTAAATTATTTTTAAGGTTTCAAATTTCATAATTAAAGGTGAGGATAGTTTTTCATGTCGGCTTAAAATTTTTGGTACCAAAATTGGATCTTATGTAAAATTTATAAATGCATCTTACTTTAATTGTTTAAGTCGGGCATGTTATATAAATCGCAATATTTAATTTAGCATTAATTGTACTAAAGCTACGAAAACAAGTAGACTCCATGCATAGTATCAAAAATCATGTTTGAATGGTCGAATTGAGGTTGATGCACAAATTAAATCATGTTTTGATAAATGCTACCTCCTTGTATCAATGTTAATGATTTTATTCAATAGTTTTTATTTAATATACCTCCATTTCTACATATGCGGGCTTGGCCGCATAGAAAGCAGGTCCAATAATTAAAAAATAATCATGAAATGAAATGAGAATTGAATAGGCAAAATAGACAATACAAAAGACACTTGTAAGAGATTTTTAAAGGGAGATATTTGTGAAACATAGCCCTTAACAACATTTATGAAACTGTAGAGAGAGATTTTTTTAGGAAACCTTAAATGTGAGGTTTTAGAAAACCATAGAGAGAGATACCCCTTTGCAATATTTATGAACCGAGAGAGAGATTTTTTTAGGAAACCTTAGATGTGAGGTTTTAGAAAACCATAGAGAGAGACACCCCTTGGCAATATTTATGAAACCGTAGAGAGACAGATACATTTTTTGGAAAACCTTAGAAGTGTGGGAACTCTTACGAAGAGATATTTGTTAAACCACTTAGAGAAATTTTAGGAAACTGTAAAAAGAGACAACTCTTGACAACATTATAAAATTGTAGACAGATTTTTTTAGGAAATTGTAGGAGTGTGAAATTTTAAAAAGTAATTAAAGGATAATAATGAAATGAATTGAGAATTGAATGGGTAGAATAGACAATAATAAGGGGGAATTCCTTTTGATTATAGGTAATATGTTACAGGGTTATGATATGGGGTTATTTTAGGGTATTCATATTATGGATCATTTTATAATTGTACTCAATAAATTTTGAACATTTATATACCGATGTCATTTTTTATATAGATGATGTCACATCATTCCTAATGACCAAAAATACCTTTATTAAAAAAATATTGAATTACAAAATAAGGGTATATAAATGTTCAAAATTAGTTGAGTACAATTATAAAATGTAAGTACCCTTACATAATCCTCATCCACATGAGGTATAAAATCACCGACTAGGTGTACTCTATATGAATAATATCACACCCCATGTGGATGATATCATATCTCTCCTAATGACCTAAGATTCCCTAACTAAAAGAATATTGTATTACAAAACAAGGGTATATAAAAGTTCAAAATTTGTTGAGTACAATTATAAAATACTATATAGTGTGATCACCTTAACATATTTGTACTCAACAAATTTTGGAAACATATATACCCTTGTGTTAAAATACAATATGTTTTTAGTTGGGATTTTGTGGTCATTAGGAGAAATGTGACATCACCTACATAGAGCCTTAAATGTTATTTGCTTCTAGACTCTCAAAAGGCTTTTTTCCCATCTAGGCTGTGCGAACGTATGGGATGAACGTAGATCAAAGAGTGATCGGGAGTACTTATCTGCAGCAAATAGATAAATGCGACCAAGCGAGTGAGCAAGCGCCACAAGCAAGTTGTTGATATGATCGAGGAGGTACTAATGATAGGCATAGGCAAAAAACATATTTAGTATAGGAGAAGCCTTGTGCCTCATCTATACTATACTAAGGCCAAGCGTGTAGGCGAAGCGGGGTCGAAGCATGAGCCGAGCATGGTGATAAGAAGCCGCATGGGTTGCAAGTTATATAGCAAGCACGCCTATCTCCATGTGAGTGATGTCACACTTTATATGGATAATGTCAAACCCTTCCTAATGAAAAAAAATACTCTTATTAAAAAAACGATCCATGTACAAACAAGGGTATATAAATGTTCAGAATTTCTTGAGTACAATTATAAAATACTCCATAGTACGAGCATCCTAACATAACCCTATATATATAGCCATGTTCTTAAAAAGGTAAATTGTTTTATGGTGGCAGGGCCACATCTAGGTTGGGTCCGTGCAGTCTCTATGTTAGGTATTTTATGTTGGCAAGGCCGCATCTAGGTCATGTCCTTGCAGTCTCTATGTTAGGTACCTAGCTAATACGCCCCAAATGTTAGGTACCTAACAAATCGCCCCAAAACCCTTGGGTGATAGAAACGCGGAAAATTAGACCCTTAAACCACCTAGTATTGTTACATACCACCACGCTCTGCAATCGACATCCTCGACGGCTCTCACTCTGTTTAGGTAGCTCTTTCAACAGGTAGCCCTTTCCTAGGATCGATGTCCTTGGCGGCTCTCACGCTATGGCGGCTCTTACTCTTATTTTTATTTAGGTAACTCTCTGTCCATAGGTAGCTCTTTCCTAGAATTTGAACCTGGGTCACATTGGTTTGCTCTGATACCAAATATTACGTACCGAACCAATACACCCCAAAATCCTTATGTGATGAAAATATGGAAGGTTAAGCCCTTAGACCACCTAGGATTGTTGCACGCTACTTTCCTAGACGGTGCAATATACATAGAGAGCATGTGCAGGTCCGCCCACACGAAAACTGGGTCCTTCAAAAAAATTGATTTAGATCGGGAATCACTTATCAAGACAAGATTCGTTCAAAGACCATCTTGATTTCTTTAATGATTCAAGGGTTAGCCTTTCTATACACCAAAAAAAAAGAAGGTTTTTTATTTCTTTTTTCACCAAATTTTGTTTTTGACCCAAATTGTTCCGCATAATGGTCATAAAGTTTTTTAATCAAAAGTGAAAAATCCCTAACATTGTACTTGGATTTTTTTTTTTCCAACTTTTTTTTCATCCTTTTGTCATATTTGTTAATTTGCCTTTTTTTATGACAATAATTTAAAAAACGGATTGGTGGCCCAGATCGAACACCCCAAAAACCGATGAGGATCAGTGAATCGGCCAGATAGGTCGGATCCGGCCTTAAAAAAATCCAAAAGAATATTAAAAATCATTATAACTATTGTTTATTGGGAAACAAATAAGAAAGGGGGTACTACATTATTAACTTTCATTTTTTTGCATCAATATACGAATATTGAGATGTTTTTTCCCAATATGAACTACTGTTAACTATTAAATTTACATCAAGCAAAAGAAAAAACCGAGAGTTATCATGGATGAAGTATGTAATCATACATGGACTGCAATAAACTACACAATAAAATATGACCTAAGACCAAAATGAAAGACGATATTGTTATTTACTTTGGTGACGCTATTACCATTCATAGAATTCACATGGCAATTCATTGATTTAATCTAAAAACAAATCATCCAAATTAGTGGTTACTTGACTATACCCAAATCCATGAGTGCTAGTATTTTGTTGCACTCCTACTTCAAAATCCTTGAAGCTTGTCTATCTTTCATGCTCACCTATATTGTCTTACTTACCTCTAAAATCTTGTTGTTGGGTTTCGGTATTGAATTTAGAAGAATATAAGCATTGAGATAAATTTTCACTGAAACTATTCGCTCATTAGAGATAGAATTTTACTAAAACTATAATTTGTGGCATTACAATCATTAAATTGCATCTTTGAGAGATAAAATTTCGCAAAACTATTCGTTCATTGGTTAGCAAGAAATCTCGGAGGAAGATATTTTTGCTAATATATATATAACATACGCAGACAAACACCCAATGTCACAAAAAAAATAAAAATAAAATACAAAATATGCTATGTGCTTCAAAAAGGCTACAGAAAACTCAGCCACATTAAAATTATTAAAAAAAGTATTAGGATTGAAAAGGCCCCTGTTGAAGCTTTGAAATTCGAGCATGTAAAATTAAGCAAAATACATTCTTTAGCAAAGGACAACATATTGAGAAGTTCAGAACAAAATTTGCTGAATTTTCTTTTATTATTTGCATAAATTTCCTGAAATTTTATTTCTTATGAGATACAATATAAGGGAATAACTAGCGGAAAAATTCCCTGAACCCAACATTTAGAAAAGGCTTTATTTTAAGATTTTTGGAATTGAGACATTTATTTCAATAACGTTTTAGAAAATGTTTTTATCTTAAGAATTTGTAGAGGTGTGCGTTTCTTTTTTCCTCGAAGAAGTTGATTTCCACAATCAACTGAGCAAACGTTGCATGCATTACACAATCAAACAAGAACAATAAGATTTCGTACAATCAGACAATATATAAGGCAAAGTTGCATACATCCAACAATCAACCTTACAAGTGTTGATGCGCAGAAACCACTCCCCCCTCCCCCCTCCAAAAA